TATGGTCCTTTATGTTAGTTTTTGACAATAAAATGTTAAGTTTTAATAATTTGACATGACATCTTTACTCTTAGATGAGTTTTACATAACAAATTTTGTTCCGACTTAGCATTATTTAAGAGTTCTCTTTTATTGATTTGATTTCTTCTTCATCATTTTAATTACAATTTAAAATTATTTTCATCACCATCATCGAATTAAACTTTCAACAATTTGTTATACCGTCACGTCCAATAAACTTCCAACAATTTTTATTATCATCATCAAAATAAACTTTCTAAAATCTTTATCATCAAATCAAATCAAATCAAAATATTTAACTTACAATAACAAAAAAATCTAAAGTCGTAAAAACACAAACAAATCAAGAAGATCTCAAATTAAATCTCAAAGAAAAAGTATTGCAACCGATATTATTCAACAACATCATTTTTATGATTTTGAAAGGTTTAACTCCACAAAAATCTTTTCGTTGTGAAACTAACAGTAATATTAATTTTATTAAAAATTATGAAAAGTGTGACAAAAAATAATGGCAATCAATTAAATTAATTCAATCAATAAAATAATCTACATAGTAATGTAAATAAATTCAAAACAAGCAAGAGGAAGAAAAAAGTTGAATACACTTAAATTTTTTATCTAATTCAATCAAAATGATTTATTTTAGAGAGAGAAGAGCTCTAATTTACTAAATTTTCAAAAGTTGTTATAAAATATTATAAATGAGTTTAAAAAAATATTCTCTCAAATTTTTAAAATAAACTCTATTTTTTATCTTAAGTGGTTCTCAATCTCTCAAAAAAATTTTATATGAATCATACAAATTTAAGATTTTTAAAAGTGTTTTCCAATTCGATTAAATACCTTTAAAGGTTCCTTCCAAGAAATTTCTATCATTTCCTCTTTAACTAAGATTATCACTTATTTCCTATATATTTTTCCCTTAACTAACAAAAGTGATATAGATAAATATTTATAACTACTCAAATTTAACAAATCTAAACTTAGGGATGTCAGTTTGGACCTGTTAATGGGGATCCCCGCGGGAAACGCCCCGTTCGAGGCCCAAAGATGGGGAGAAAAATTCCCCCGAGAGCATTTCGGGGACGGGGACGGGGAATACACCCCCGCCCCGCGGGGACCCCGCCCCGCCTATTATTTTAATATAGTTAATTTAATATATATATTTTAGATTAGGTTTTTTAGTCATTTCCTTTATGTTTATTTATAAAAATAAATAAATAAATATTCATGTATTTATTAAAAGAGAGAAATGTAAATATTAGACCCTAAAATGTAAATACTAGTATTTTTTAATAACATAATAAATATGTGAATTCTTTGTGCTTTTTATTTTTATAGAAAATATAAACATTTTAAAAAAATAAAATATTAATGAATAAATGTAAGATCTATGGGGATCCCCGCGGGGAACGGGGATGGGGATAGAAATTCCCCCGTGACGGAGATCGGGGACGGGGACGGGGAATGAATTTGATGGTGGGGAAAAAGATGGGGAAGTGTCCCCCCGGCCCCGCCCCGCCCCATTGACATCCATATCTAAACGTACTTAGAACACGATCCATCACATAATGGATCCACAAACGAAACAGACATGGTCCAAGACCACCATCTACCCAACTTTGACTCCATCCTCTATCGACTTTTCTAGTTCTTTTTACGATTCTGATTTTTGAAAGTCTATAAAAATGTTTTCTTTTCTTCATTACTTTATATTTTGAGACACACTCCTATAAATCTCTACATTGACTCAAAATTGACGGTGATGTCAATTTAACCGTCAACCACCTTATTGCTCTCTCTAAGATGAATTATCATTCAACAACTTTGATCAAATCCAAACCATCCTTGAACCTTGATTTTTTAGTTGTATCCACTTGCACTTAACCCCACCACCTTTTTATGCTTAGGTTGTCTAACAATGCCACAAGTATGGTTCTTTAACCATCTTTGATTATCTTTGCTTTTGAATGTCTCTTTAAGGGTGTGATTGGTTGTAAGATAAAAATGAGAAGAGAGAAAGATGTGAGAAAGAGTGTGAGATGAGGAAAAAAAAAGTGAAAAATAGAATAAATTTGATGTATTGTTTATTGTAAGAGAAGTATGAGAAAAATAGAATAAAAAGAAGTGTAATTATTTTTAAAAAGACAAAAATATCCTTTAGATAAAAAAGTTAATACACCATAAATTAAAAAATTATATAAAAGTTTAAAATATATTAATTGGATAAAATTAAAAAATTACTACTATTTCTCATTTCTCTCTAATTATGAGAAGATTGAAAAAAATGATAGGACCCATATATATTATAACTCCTTCTCTTCTCTTTCTCACCCCAACCAAACTGGAGAAGTTTCACTCTTCTCTTCAACCTCTCTCTTCTTTTTCTCATCTACCAAACATTACCCTAAAGAGTAAAGATCATTATTTCTAAGATTTACCCTTTAATCACATTTGAAACACAACAACTAAATCTACCAGAATCACATTTATGAGATGATACAATATTCTTTTTAAAATTATCATAAATCAAATAAATGAAGAAATAGCTCAATAAATGAAGAAATAGCTAAGAGTCGTTATATATATTATTTTTCTTTTGAAACAAATTTTAAAATGAAAAAGCTCAATTTGATGAAATTGAAGAAATAATTGAAGATACAACTCTAAATGAAACAACTTATCCACCATTAGAGAGAGTTATAGTAAACTTTATTATAGAGAGAAAAAACTTTAGATACTGAAGAAAATAATATGTAAAATTTCTAGACGATGCTCAATTCGAGTAAGTTAAAACAAAGATTGAAGAATTAAATGAAGAGATGATCATATTCCCAAACAATAGGATGTTTGTTATTTTTGAAAGACCTTAGTTTGCTGACATGATCAAATTTAAAGCTCAATATATTATAAGGCTGAATATAATAGGGGTGTTAAAAAAATCATTCAATAATTGAATAGGTATAATAAAGTGTTGAATAAATGGTTGGAAGTGAAGTAGATTAATTGATGTTAAAAATTTAACATATTGAATGAGGAAGAAATGAGGTCACGTATAATACTTTGTAAAATCTTATTGGTTGATATGATTGTTTAAATTTTTAATTTATTTTAATTATTTGAAATCAATTATTTTATAATAAATAAATTTTTTATTTATTTTTATTTTCATCAAAATTTATTATTTTTTTTGTCTATAAATAAAAATTTAGTTCATTTCGTTTGGACACACAGAAAAATTTCTTTATTTTTTTTATTTAACCTCCAATAAACTCTTTTATTTTATCCACTTTTATTTGTTTTAATAATGATTATTCTTATAAAATTAAAAAAATAATAATTAAGAATATAAAATTTAAAAAAAGTTATTAAATTAAAAAAATTATTTAACTCTTAATTATTTTAATTTTATTTCAACCGATAATTGATATTAATATAAAATCATAAAAAGAAAAATGTAAAAGAAAATTAAAATATGAAATAAAAATAGTGAGATAGGGTGTTGAATTTTATTAAACAAAATTATTGTAGTGAGTAAAAATTGAATATGTATTGAATTATTATGTGGAAGAAAGAGAAGATGATGTGGAGTAAAAAAAGTGAGAAAAAAGTGTGTAGAATATGTAAACTATTGTACATAGTCTTAATCAAACTTTTTGAGTCTTTCTTATTTATTTATAAATTATTTTCTAACATCCACGTAGACATCACTCGATTCAACATCCACAAGTAAAATAGTGTTGAAGAAGCGTCAGTACACCATAACTATAATCAAACATAAGCAAATTCAAATTTTATAACGGAACCGTACGGATTTCACTTTTCGGACATAATACCAACATAATCTAAAATTTAAAATTTGAATGCAACATTTATATTTCAGCTCAAAAACTCAGATGATTTAAAACAATGAGCAATATAATACATAAACATTAACTAAAATTCCAACAAATTTGTTTTCCCGCTGGAAATGTCGAAAGATTGGAATTCAGATTTATGAGATAGAGATTGGAGCCCAAACTAATTTTTTTGACAAACATCAAAAAATGAGATATAAAATGAGTGCATTAAGATTTTGAAATTCAAAGTTTAAGAAGGATATTTTAGAGTTTTCATAAAGAATGTGATCATTATACGGCGGTATAGTAAACAACACCTTATTATTATTATTAAAATTAAAGGTGGCCATAGTAAGTTGGTTTGCTCCATCCATTTTGGCCAGGTTGATAGCGACCCATGCTAAAATTGGGTAAGTTGGGCCGTTTTGCCTAGCTCAATTATAATCAGAAGTTCCTAGAAATGCCACAACAAAAATAACAAGGTTCACAAAACCGAAAGTCAAGCATCACCACCACACACCCCTTATGCACACACAAACATGTCTAACAGTAGTACACCATGTACACGACAGAAACTGAAATTGTGCATAATTACTTTCACACGTGAGATAAGTCATATTAGTAATCATAATCCCACCTATCTACCATTCAATTCAAAAGTATGAGTAGTGGTGTAGATTTAAAGGTGAAAAATATCCTATGCCTTAATCACAGAATCTCTAATATGTTTGTGGTTACTATGACTTGAAATTCTGTGTATATCACAATATCACAAGATGCTTGTGACAAAACAGAAATTAATTTTGTCTTTCCTCTACATTTATAAAAAAAACTTCCAAAAATATATTGACAAAATTTGTCTTTTTGTTTGGATAATTTCTTACAGACAATATAAAAATTGTTTTTTTTTTCCAGATGAATGCAATGAATCTTGATTCTTCTGTTATGAATATGAAGAAAATAATGAAATCTGTTTTATGCAAAGAACTTGTATGTGGAATAATGACTACCAATATATTTTTCCTTTATGAATCACAAATTGATACATTATTATTACAAAACAGGGTCAGAATTAATTAATTACCCTAGAAGAAGAACAAAATTCTTGACTTTTATCTGCAACAAATCTATACTAGTTCATTGTGTTCTCATGGCCTTTATCCAATCAAGTTCGAGTCTGAAATCACCTGGTCCGGATCTAGCACCTGGGACACCGCCCTCAGCATTGACAGAAAAAGACATGCCAAGAACACGGGATGGATTCATTTCAATTTCTGCATCGATGACGTTCCCTCTCCATGTAGGTAGGTATCGAGCTAGAGGAATCTGGTCATTCAATGAAATTACTAAGTACATGGCGATTATGCAAAATATTGAAATTTACAATAGAAAATCATGTAACTAGCTCACTGCTAAATACGGGCCAATGATTATGAAATCCATCGCTTCGCATTCATATTCATAGAAAGCCAGCAAGGCACACAAATTATTCTTTCATAAAAGTTTCAAATAGTAAAGATCAGTGCCCAGCAAAACTATGTGAAATAGCAAATAGCAGCTCGGTCAAATAGAGGAAGCCGCATATCAATTTAAATAAGTCAATTATATAGAAAAAGAAGACATGCTGCAAACGAATAAAAAAGGGAATATGAAAAAACTTAGCTCCCACATTGAAAGGTTTACGCGTTACGGTGAATATAGGAGTAATACTCACTAACTTTTCAATTTTTCTTTTTTTAAAATAGGCCATGTTTGGTACACATGCAGATTCTTCAATTTTATCACTTTAAAAATCATTTATCATACAATTCTTCTTTTTCCGCTATTGCCGCTATATCAGCTCGTAGAAACTAGAATGGACAACCGTTATTTCCGTAATATCAAAACTGGTATAGCATTGTGATTTTCACAGCGGATTCATCAAAATCCGCTATGCTATAGCGCTCCTTTTTTACAACATTGGGCCAGAGCCGGCTTAAACCATAGGAGACCACACCAAAATAGAAGAAAATGTAGCAAAATACACAAACCTAGCATCAAAAATAAAATTTGATTAACAAATTCAAAAATCACAAGAAAACTTCCCAATTCGTCACAGGAAAAAGAATAGCAAGTTTAAAATCAATGGGCAAATTGACAAATAACAATGTTCGATATTAATAAAGAGTGAAGGATGACTGGATTGGGATCCTCTCGCTGGAACTGAATTTAACTCAGTAGAGCTAGGTATCAACTCAGCAGAGTTGGGTACATTCACCTAGTTGGCCTTTTGGTTTCATTGCAAACTTGCAACGATGAGTTCCTGCATGTTTTCTGGTTCACGACTTGGTTCAATTTGGGACTATGAGGTAGAGAGTTGAGCTGAGACTTACTTGAACATTCATATCCTTAAACAAATTCAAGTTGGAATGTTAAGTGCATCTATAAAGCTGAGTGTCACTATGAAGAATCATGGGATGATGAAAAAAGAATCATATTGATTGATAAAAAAGATGATGAATTATGTACATAATTGTCCAATTTATAGAGCTCAAGTGCACTAACTAATCGCGTAACTAATTCCTAATTAAGTAACTAATACTCACAAAGTCTAACTATCTTGCTAGAAATATAGGATTAGGGTTTGTGTACTATGAAGCATTATCATTCAGCTGTTGCAGTTGTGCATTTTAAAAATCACTGTCATTCTAGGCATGTAAAGTACCCACTAAATTATAGGCTTATTCAATTGTCCTCAAACTCCTGACTTTTGTGAGTCTACCTAGGTTTACACACAATTTGTAAGCAAGCTAACCCGATTTTACCAAATATTTTAAAGTTTTGGGAGTGTTGGTTCATAGCAACCATGTATAAATTGTTAATACGCAATACTCCAGAAATTTGTATAATCAAAACGCCAGCATGCTATTTCTAATCACAAACCCTACCACCTGTTGTCAAACATTGCAGGGGTAGGATAAGTCTTCCAAGAAAAATGGATGGAAAGCCACAAGAGCAAGGCGTATGTGTTTTCAATGCACCTTATTGAGTCCTTATTCACAGAGTTAAAGCCCGTCAAAGTAATTACTTTTTGCAATTTAACTTGGCATAACTATTAAGGTAGTTTATATTATGGCAGGAAAAACAGTCACAAGCATCCGGGCATTGTACACGAGTCACTCAAAAATCATTTGAGAATACTTCATACTAAATTGCAGGTTATCACAATACAAACAGAAAGTCTAGTTGGGGGTCATTACGTTATTTTATAATCTTGTATACAGATAGATGGAAATGAGACTTGCCTTTGCAATATACCAGTTGTCTTTAGGCACATAAATAAATGATTGCCACGAATTATCCTCCATCTGTCCAGGTGAATTAACCCAATTCTCCGTGTAGATCTGCACCAAAATCAAACTAGTATTGAAACCCTCTAAATTTCCAAGGATAACATAACATTTTGGCATTGGGAAAGAAGATGGCACTCACAGTAGATATATAACATCGTCCATCACCTTTAAGTTTCATAGCTATAGTATCATATGAATCCAAGTCAATGAAGCCATCAAACTGCAGAAACACATTATTGCAGAAAGACAACTTAATTTAGGCCTTATATTGATATACAATACAACTAAATGTGCGCTTATAGCATAAGTGTTTATCATACAAATACTTATACAACAACAATAAGTCTTATCCCACTAAGTGGGGTCACCTACATGGATCATGTTTCTACCCAACACTCTCTCTAATATTCATTTTCCACAAACTATCATAGAGTTTACGCAAATAAGTTGAAAATAGTTCATGGGCATGTCAAAGGTTGTTGTTGAACCAACTATTTGACAAAAAGAAAGAAAAACAAGCAACCTTTTTGGAGCGCATTCCACAAAATCCACCTCTACTAATATTCCACTTAGCCCCCTGAGTAACCTCAAGAGAAAGATTCCCAGAGAAAATCCCAGTAGTAGTCCCATTCTCAGATTCAGGTATCTGCAGAGATGCAGATGATAACCCTAAACAACAACAACAAAAAACCCTAAAATCAAATCAACCCAAGTTACAAACTTTAGTAACAAAAAATGCTAACTAGTAAAAAATAACGCACCCCCGAATTCAGAATCGGAATACAAATGCCATTTGGTTAACTCTTTCTTGGAATTGAAGTTGAATATGTATTTTTCAGGTGGAGGCATCAAATCATCAAAACTACCGGATATAGCTTCAGAGAGAGATGAAATAATGAATCAAAATCTTCAAGTAATGCATTGAATGAATGTTGAAAAGTGAATACCTTTCTTAGTAGCATCCATTGATGCTTGGAACATTCTTCGCAATCTCGACATCTTCGATCATAAATTTGAATTTACACTGAAATGTGAAATGGGAACAGATTTCAAGCTTCTAGATAGGGAATTCAACTTTTTATTATTAATTTCTTTACTTAACTTATTATTATTAAAATAAATTAAATGATATTTTTTCTATATATAAAATAATTTAGATTTGTGATTGTGATAAGATAAATATTAACTTATTTCATGTAAAGTTGTTAAAATGACCTAGTTTAGATGAGGTGGTTTTAAAGTTAGAGTTTGAATTTTTTTAAAGATTTTTATTAGTTTAGTTCAAAATAGTTTGTTATTCATTAAAGTTAGTTAGTATAAATTATAGGTAGTGTAATACGGTGGGAGAATTGACGTGTGTGTTTTACGTTTGATCGCAATTGTTGTGGATAGTAAGAGTCGTCATCGACTTTTCTTTTATCTAATAAAGTAAAGGGTGAAAAGAACATGAAAGACCTTTTGGAATTTTTTTCTTGAGTTCGGGGGTAAGTTATGAAAAGGGAAGGTGTTAACATTATTTTCATCTGTAGTTATTTACAGGCTCTTAGTTGTTAACTCACTTTGAAATGCTTTGTTTGAAATGTGTTTGTGATGGTTTTCCACGGGCTCTTAGGTACTTGCTCATTTTGAAAACTGTTTGTGTGTTTGTGTGTTTTGAAAGTTTTTGTTTGCTTTATGGTAACTCTTGTATCAGTCCTCAAGAGTGTGATAAAGCGTTTTTGAAAATAGTTTTGAAAAGTGTGTAAGTGTGAAAAATTCAGATTTGAGCAAGTACTTAAGAACAGTCTACCAACTCGAAAAAGGATGTTATTTTCCTCCCTTCCTTTAGATAGTGCTATCCTACTATTAGTGAGTAGGTAGCCCTATCGTCATATGTTGAGGGACAATCGAATGGACGTTTTACAATCACGAAGGCAATTTATGGAGACGCTTTAGCAATTTTCTTTTAGGGACTAGATCATTTACCGAAAGGAAATTGTAGGGTCATCGAGGGACTATGATCTTTTTGATTTATGGGTCTTTACTAAAGCGTTCCTACCTCATGACTGTTTTATTTAAAGGCAACCAAAGTGGGAGATACCTTAGAGGTGCGCATGTGCAAGTGTGTTGAGATTCAATTATTTTTTTTGTCTTTTTGTTAGGTTAGCTAACGTTTGATTATTAGTCTTTCCATACACGCCTAGTTATTAACAGTAATATATACAGAAAAATAAAATGCGGAAAGTATAAATCTAGACTATTACATGGCTTCGGGGAGGGGGATTTACATTCTAAAGCAAATGGAGAAAAGAAAATAAAGCAATAAAAAGAGTCTACTTATCATCTATTACATCCCATACATCAATTACAATAATATAAACAATGCGAAAAGTTGAAAGTATGTCTGAAAACATAAAAGAAAATCTTTTTTTGGTTTTTGCTAAGAGAATGATTAATTCCAAATTTATTTCTAATTAAGAAAATAAAAGTTGAATGAAATAAATCCTAATTCTAATATTTTTGTAATTTTTATTAAGAAAATAACTTAAATTAAAAATGAACCTAAGTCTAATTTAATTTTAAATTGATAAAATAATATTAAAATAATTAATTAATTATTTAATTTTAGAAAGAACCTAAATCTATTTATTATTTTTTTGATTTTTTTTGTTATGACTTGATTTTTTTAATGTAAAAGAGTTAAAAAGAAGTCAAGAAAATAAGATGAATAAAGGGCATCAGAACATGGGTAGCGTGGTCTGGAAAAATGTTGAGCCCAGAAATTGGCCAACCCAGAGTCAGCACGAGACTTAATACATTTAGCCTCTGGAGGGCCCATCATAAGCACCCAAATCTAGAGCACTTGATCTGACTCTGTGATGTTCTGATGGTGATGATTTGATGATGATGATATGATGACACGTGATCTGATAGTGAACGCCTGAATCTGCAATAAACTGATTAGAAAGAGAAAAATGCAAGATCTAGGCACTGAAACCAGATCCTTTCATTATATGCGCTCCCTTTTACTAGCTGGACCTGTTTATCAATTGTCATTACAAATGAACAGACAAAAACATATATGATTCCAGATCATCAAAAACTGCACGTGCTAATGCCAAAATCAGTTAAAAGGATGCTATGCATGGGTTGCTGGAGTCAGCCCATCAGAGCCAACCTTCTGGTTGTATGCTCTGATGGGCTCAGAATCAACATGGAATTTATGGCCTATCTAGTCTATAATCAGATTCTACGCAAACACGTTAGTACAAAACAGAATGCTAGCTTCAAAAGATGAAATTAAAAAATATACATATGATCAATACTTGGATTTGTGGTGTTGATGCTACCCCTGGAGATTTTAGAATCAGAACGTGGACACTTATTTGGACCTTAGAGCGCCTGCAAAGCGTGTTTCAAATGGGGGCACTTTTGAATTTTTGAGCATTGTGGTGTGTTTTTTTTTGTGGCAGCATGAGCGTATATTCTCTCCTCTTTTTCTCTCTCTCCCTCTCTCTTTTTTTTATTTGTGTTTGACGTATTGGATTTATAGGTGGTGGAGGGGACAAGAAAATGGGGAAAGAAACATGGCTTTAAAGACCGACCATTAAACACAGCTTTGAAAACAGAATCAGACACATTAAAAGATTTCCATTTTGAGAATTTTCATGCCTTTCTGAGATTCTGAGTGAACCTGGACAAGTGAGGGTTGGCGCCTCGCACAAATTTGAATTGCTCAGAGTTTTCTTTACCAGAACTTCTTCAATTAGCCTCTCAAGCGTTGTTCTCATTGATGACTCTGATTTCTGACTCTAATTTTTCAGAGTTTTCCTTATCAGAACTTCTTCAATCAGCCTCTCAAACGTTGTTCTCATTGATGACTCTGATTTCTGACTCTAATTGTTCAGAGTTTTCCCTATCAGAACTTCTTTAATCAGCCTCTCAAATGTTGTTCTCGTTGATGATTCTGGATTCCAGTTTGAGACGCTCAGAACTTTCCTTATCAGAGCAACCAGAATTTCATCGTCAGAACTTCTGAGCTGGAGACACCTCATACCTTCAAATTTTTATACTTTCCTTAAACAAGTGTTTGTAACCAACTACGTAAGGAATGGTCTTGAAAAAATGAGAGGGAAAATTTTTAGGGTACAATAGTGAGATATCAAACAATATAATCAGATGTATCATAAATAATATATTATAATCAGATCATACAAAATCACCGCTTCATAGCTTTTAAACGACATCCATTACAACCAAGTCATCAACATAATATCACACCTAATTCATCACCACAACAACTAAAGATGCAATATGAAATGCAACTTGTTACGGTGCAAATGCATGTGGTACCAACGAAGCAAAACTCTCAACTTAATAATCTTCCAATTAATAGAGGCATCAACAAGGCATAAACCTTCAACTTCAAATCTTGCCATTCCAGGCCAACTTACAGAGCATGAGCTCCCAACTTATTATGCTATGTATGCGACAACATTATAAAACACAACAACAACTACAACATCAACCATTCAACAGTAACTCAACAATAACAACAACAACAATTCAACACTGGCCACAAGCCTACAACTTATCTGCCCAGAATTAGAGGCATTTCAACAACATCAGTATATCCTGCAACTTTGCATCATCAACAATATTAACATTACAACAACATAGTAAAATTCACAAATACAATCGAAACCCATTGCAATAACACTACATAATTATTCAGTTATACGTCTATATTCGGTTATTAGACGTTTTGTGACGGTTCCTCTAATATTAACCTACTGTAACTATTATATAAGCTAGTACTACTATCAACAGTTTCTACTACTGCTAGTGCTACTAATTAATTCTCTACTGTCGTTTTATTGCTAATAGCTTTCTGTCACTATTTCACAATTAACTCCTACTGTCAACTTATTCCTGCTACATGTACCATGCTATTATACTGTTAATAGTTTTCCGATAGGGTTCTTGTAATTACATCCTACTACTATGAATCATCTCCTACTACCATGAATTATCTCTGCTATTATTTTACTGTTAATAGCCTACAACTTGGTTTTAGCCAATCAATACAGGCAACACAACAAGATTCATCATTACCTACAACTTCCCAATTAACAACAACATCATCACAGCAAATTAATAATTGTCCCTGCTAAGCATTTTGAATCTGTCATCTATTAATCCTACTTGCTATATATGTTAATCTACAATTTGTTTACTTCGGTAACTAACAAATAGTCTCTGCTATTATTTATTTTTGCTAACTCTGCCACATAACAATTCTGTAGTTAATTTAATATCTGCCATATATATATATATATATATATATATATATATATATATATATATATATATATATATATATATATATATATATATATATATATATATATATATGGGTGTGCCCCTTGTCACCCAACTGTACCCCTCGGCACAATAACAGGTCGTGTCGCTCGTCATAGAGTTATGCTGCTCGACACACTCCTCTTCATACATGGTGTCAGTCGACACGCTCGGGTGCCCCTCTGTGACACCCGAAATAATTCGATTATTAAATAATTAGAATTTTTAATTATTAATTTAATTGGAAATTTAATTATTGGTATTTTTGGATTATTGGAATTAATTTAATTAATTAAAGGAAAGAAGTATTGGTGGTGTGAAGAGTGATTAGAGGGTGTGAGGGGTAAAATACTCTACTCTTACTAATTACTAATTTAATTATTTTATTGGAATAATAAAAGGAGTATTAAAAGGAAAAAGAAGAGAAAGAGAGTTATTTTAGAATATTCATCATACGTGCATTTGAGAAGAGGAAAAAGAAGGAGAAAACCGGAAGCGTCAGAATTCGAAGAACCCACAAGGTAAGGGGTGATTTCGATTAGTTAATTCGTATTATCGGTTTAGATATTCAATAGTATGGATCATAGTATGTTAGGGAATCCCGGTTTGGAATTCTAGGGTTCCGTAGAATTGTCCCTATTGCGTCGAATTGTAGGTTG